GGGGGGGGGGGGGGGGGGGGGGGGGGGGGGGGGGGGGGGGGGGGGGGGGGGGGGGGGGGGGGGGGGAATACATGATTTTAGAGAAGTGGGCTCGTGATGCGGATCGCCGAAGGCGGATCCCTGTGGGGAATTTTGAAAATTGAGATCCTGGGAAATAGGATATTCGACATTCTCAGAGGCCAAGTCGGCGTGTTACAATGTCTCAATCTTTTTCTTTTTAATTCAGGGGGTTTGACCAATTACGAGGCCCCCGAACCCCCTCCCCCTGGATCCGCCCAAGGGAACCAATTTCCATCAGCGGAACATTTTTATGACAGAGTCGTCACCGTGATCATTTGGGAAATTTGCAGTTTTCTGCAAACGTTTTTTACTGCTTGTAAATTCTGTATGGGCATACTGGAAAGTTCTTATTTCATAACAGGTCTCAATTTTTTTCCTCTCTTTTTGTTTCAGAATCTTACTTTTCTAAACATTAACATCTCTTCACATGATTACGAATATCCTAGTGCCATTCATTTAAGGGTGAGTAATGAATCACACTACTCTCTCTTCTTACCAGTTTATGAATAGAGTAGTGCACGCTCTAAGGGGCATTATGGGTAATCTAGGCACATTTACAAAGAAGCAAAGCCTTAAAACAAATGTTTATCTTTATATTTCCGTTCTGATTTCACATTTGGAGACGGAACATACACTGTAGACGGAGAAACCCCTTTTCTAAGTTTAACAGCGTTTTTGAGCCGATCGAGTGATTGTTGTGGGCGTAGGAATTTTTTTTACGGTTAAAACCGAATAATTTGATCAATTCTTAGTCGCTCAAACCACGAAAATAACATCTCCGTTACTCTGATAAGTAGGTTAATGCCTAGCTCAATCGATCCAAAAACGCCAGTAAATGTAGAAATGGGGTTTCTCTATTTACAGTAACAGTTTCCTCTCGAAAATGAAACTCAGAACGGAAATATGAAGAAAAACGTATATTTTGCCGCTTCGTTTCTTTGCAATCTTGCCCTGATTACCCGTAATGCCCCTTATAGCGTGAACTCCTCTATAGAGTGTGTTCATTGTCACGCAATAAAAAATAAAATCAAAAACCATTCAGTGGATAAATTCAAGAAATTGTGATATTATAGTCGTTGCATTAAAATACTGAACAGTTGAACGTTTTATTCACTGATTAATAAAAAAACTGCAGAGGTGTTGGGAGGCGACGATCCCGGGGGCGGAACATTTGCCCTCTTTCTTCGTCCCCACCCCGGGACATTTAGACAGCTTATGTCTCCCCACCCCGGGGAATTTGCCCATTTATTTCTAAAAAAATGCTAATGCCCGGGGGTTAGCCCGGGGGGGGGGGATGGGCACTGCTGGAATTGACTGACGCATTATATCTTGACTGCAAAAATAAAGATCCTTTCTTCCCTTTCATCCGACTACTAGTCCATTCATCCTTCTTTACTTGAAAAATTAATTGAAAAAAAAAATGTCTCTTTGAGGCAATGTGTCCCACCTTCAGTAATTGCTATTTATTTCATATAGGGGGCCACATCAGTTTAGATCCTGTAATTTTATTGCTCCAAGATAGACCGGAGATGTATTTAGTTAACCCTAACAAACTTTACCTTGTACCATAGTTGTTATTAGGCTGATTTAGCAAGAGAACGGGAACGTCACTTGACGACGGCGCGCGCAGTACAAATACCCAAATATGGTCAGATGACGACTGCAGGGCGCGCGAAATAACCTGGATTCTGTTCTAATTTGACCATATTTGGGTATTGGTACTGCGCGCGCCGTCGTCAAGAGACGTTCCCGTTCTCTTGCTAAATCAGCCTATTTACACGACACTCTGGAATAGAAATAGCTGGCATTAAAAAAAGTTGTAAAATGCGACTAAACAAGAACTATCCCGTTTGTTTTTTTCATCAGGCCGCCGTCAAAAGGCCGTTTAAAACTGAATACACTGTATAATATTGCTGGTTTTCAGTGTCACGCAATTCAAAATAGATCAAAATAAGAATTAAAACCGGTCAATAGATAAAGTCCAGAATCTGGGAAGTGAAAAAAGGTAAACATGCAAAGACTCTCGCCAAGATTCTGGTCACAGCAATTTTTCTTATGCGAGATATGCGGAGAAATTTGTTACCCAAATTTATAGAGATTTTTATGGAGACGCCATTTTGGTGCCCATCCGGTCCGCATGGGCACCAACATGGCGGCCGGAAACCAACAGAAACTCTGTCACTGAGTTTTGCTACAAAAGCATGAATTTATCCCTCGAGGAACTCTAAAACATTAAAATAATACTTTTTCTAAGAAATGAACTGTNAAGAACCCATTCGGAGCGAAAATTTGTATGAATATTAGTTTTCAGCTGCTCTTATACATCATTTAAGTAAAATCTCAGGAAGATCAATAGTTTTGTAGTAAGAATTTTAGTGACGTCATGTGAAAACCAGCTATCGCTAGCGCTTTTCAGGCTTTTTAGTCGCACTTTTCTTTGCTTTTAACTTCTTGTCTCGCTCATAGTAAACGACGCACGACTCCTTTGTGTTATCGAAATCTTTTGTGTTGAAGTAATATTTGGCCTTGTAGCAACCCAGCTTAGGACCAGCGTGGTGGTAGCCTTTCCTGTTTTCCTCTCGTAGATGTCAAGCTCCCAAGAGTGCTAACACACAGAGCGGACCTATCTTTTTTTGGACTTTTTCCCGCCTAACTGTCGCTTGTGCTCCTGGGATATCATTTCATTTTAACCGAACGGTCACATCGTTCAAGCACTTCCTCCATTTATATCGCTGACCTCACAGTATTTGTTTTGCAAGAGGAAAAAAGGAAAACAAAGCAGCAGTTAATATTCAAGAGGCTAAGGAATGCGCTACTTCGTATCGTTATTCGCGGTTTACGAATGAAATGATTTTTAGTCACCAAACTAATCGGACGTAACTACCTGTGCTTCAAAGAGCTGCATCACTGATCACGATGAACACAGGATGCTGTTAATGGTCACGGGATAAATTTGCACCGTCTGACTGAACACATAAATTTTGTCTTAAATTTACATCATAATCCAGGTCTGTGTGTGAAAGAAGGTTCGTGCTCACGAGACAGCGCCTGTCCCTGGCTTGGCGACACAAGATGCTTAACGTTTGTGTTGGAGTTGTGCTTGTTTCTGCCGAAGCTTTCTAAGAGTCCAATGCCTACAGCAAGAAGTCGTCTAAGCAAGATCGTTCTAGTGTCACTGTTTGCCTTCATTGTCAGTGTGTTGGTTGAGGAATCAGATCAACAAATTCTACGATCAAGGCATGTTGAATCACTGTGCCTTCGGAGATGTCTTCTCCGAGCAGTGAAGAGATCCAAAACGAAGGTAGGCCTCAAATTTTGATCGTTAGTTTAGCGAGATCCCCAATAACTAAGCTACAGTGTGGCACTGTAAAGCAGTTTTAGATTGTAATCCCTCGAAGTGAGAGAAGCTATGATTTTGTCGAGACTAAGTAGAGCAGATCGAAGTTGGGTCAATGGCACCTCTATTTTACTGCTCACATGGCAAATAATCAGGAGAACGTGAGTTCGGACTACATGGAAGTGAGATACAGTAACGTAAGCCAAAACCGGACGATAACAGAGATACTACAATCGACAGCAAAAAGTGTGATCAGGTAAAAGCAGACGAATTGTCATCTTTACTTGATTTCATCATCGATATAAACAGTTCTTTTTGGGAACCTATGGTAACCAGTATTCCATCGACGAATCTACAATTGTAGCTCCGTTGAAAATGGTATGAACTAGTGTTACTAGTGTTAATAACAACATTCGAAGAACAGGTCAATTTACGCACGTACGCGGGATCTATTAAAACCTGATTGAGTTTGTAGCTTTTACCAAAACCGGGCGACCGCGTTTCAATCTGAGTGCTAGAAATTCAAATGTTACTTTTTATTATTATTAGAACTGCACTTTTCCCACTTATTGAAAGGTTTAAAAGCTTTGGCGAAAACGTGATCATGTGGTATTAACATCATGAAATGTTTATATGAGACGATACCTGCAGTATTATGACGGCGGAAAATCAAAACAACAATGTATATTCGCCCGATACGGAGCAGGATGTTGAGGGCTTAAGAGTGTACTTTTGTATGTGATACGTAAAGGGAAAAATGCTTCGCTTTGACTGGCGGTTATCTATGAATTTTTCAAGTAACGCTACCAACTACCAAGTGCACGACGCTCGAGTTCGTCTCCCACGCGATCGTTTTATTTCTACCCGAAAAGAACCTGGCGCCAAAAACTTTTCGTGTTGCTTCAAGTTAATCAATAGTCGTTTTGAAATAAAGCTCGTATTGTTAGCAGAAATGTAACAGTTCGAAAATTTTTTCATCGCTTTTTAACTATTCGATAATGACACTGTTGCTCACTTTCAGACATCATTGTTAACGAGACTCGAAATTTATAGGGACAGTTGTAATAAGCGAAATGCTATTCTGCTAAATGCAGAAACTTGCGATTTTGCACTCATGCAGAGTTTGTAGCTCGATCTTTCACACAACAGGTTCGGTTAGAAATATGAGATAGTTCAGACGAAACGCCGGCGAACGAACAGGCACACATACTAACTACAGTAGTCCAGTTATGTTGATAAAGTAAGATATTTACTTAATAAACTTAAAGTTAGTTTTCTGTTCTTGCGAAAAGCTGGAGACGGCGACGAAATTCGAATTTGTCTAGTTCCTGGTCTAGAATACAACATTGGACTGAGGCCATTTAAGATAACGTGTTTCCAAGAAAAGCAATGCCGTTGCTATCGAATTCTTCGAATTTGTCACCAAAAATATCCAGACATTATCTGAGCATAACTCGGCGTCGAAGCGTAATTAACAATGTTCGAAATAAAAAATAATTCGTGGCCGAAGTTTATCAAAGGACAGTTAAATATGGTACTCAGTAAAGTGAATCTCAAGCTCTAAATTTTGTCCTTCCTTTATTTTTCCTTCCTGAGCTCGGAAAACGCTACGTCAGATGATTTTATCAACCGTGGCATTTTAAAATATTTGTCGCTGAGACTCTTTCCTGCAATTAAGGTTGGATGCAATTATTGAACTTCGTTTTGCTTTTTTTGCTTTACACCTATTTCATTACGAACGTATACACGTCAAATTTAAACACTATTAAAAGAACCAGCAGTTTTCGCTGGCTTTGATTCCGGCGCTTGCTATGATTTTTAAGACCTTTAATGGTAGGATGTTCGTCAGAACATGTCAAAAATTCGACTCCATGGTGATCAAAGTGTGCATAATTTAGTGGTAAACAAAGAGCTTGTCATGGCTGGAACGGTCGAATCGTCACGCACACGTCAATAAAGAAGTATTTAAGTGTCAGGAACTCGCTTAAAAATGTTGAACAAACTTTTAAAAGTGGAAACTAGTTCGTATAGACACAAATAAAAGCACCTTTCCGACATTTTGGCGCATTTTACCCAACCATTTCCCTGAAATGAATTTATCATTATAAATTTATGCAAATACATTTTGGATTCTCGGAAATCCACTTAGTTCACAGAAATGTTATTTTGAAAACGCCTGTTTATCTCCTGCTTATCTTCTTTCTTATACAAAGAAACTGTGTTATGTTTTATAATGGATGTCATCTGGAACACGTCATGATGACATTCTTTGCTTGATCTTTAACTTTCCCACAATCCTAAAGCTCTGACAGCACTTACAGTTTTTTTTTAATAAATGCAAAGACAATTCTTGATTCTCGGCAAAGGAAACAATTATCTCGGAAAAGGAAGCAATTAAAGGTCGTCAATTCACCTATTGTTTACATTATTTTTCTCTTTTAAAACTTGAACGAAAAATGTTTGGACCAAGTCCAGCACACTAGTATGAAGCAATTCAAATTTACTTACAGATACGAAAGCAAATATATTTGTTTCCCGAAAAGCAATAAAACGTCCAAATTAAACTTCATTATAATCTACAAATTTTATATGTAGCAGATAATGTTTTTCTTAGTTATTCGAAACACGTTAAGAATCTTGAAACGTTGTCATCATACTGACAGTTGGGGAACTGTGTGACAGTTAGCTTGCAGTAAGGTCTACTAAACGTTTTAATTCAATCATATCATGCATTCGTGCCAAAATTAAGAGTGGGATGGGGGGTTACATGCTCCCTTGATCCCTTATAAATTTCAAATGTTCACATTTTTTCCCATTTTATCCTTCTCCCACTATTAAATTCTGTTGCTCCCTGAAATGTTTCAGTAAGGTCTCACAAATAGAAGAGGCATCCTTGTTTCCTCAAATAAATACAAAGAAAGAAAGAAATTCTTGATCCCTTGTAATTAGTGAGGAAGGAGGCAATTGTAGAAAGTATATTATGGAGCAACACATGTTTTGACAATGGGGACTTCGATATTTTTGTTAAATTCATTTCCACGTACTGTTACTGTAAATTGTCTTGCTTGAGCTCAGTTGTCGAGCCTTGTGCCACTATTTCCAGTTCAGCTTAAGTGTACTTAGTAAGAGGTGATTGGCTGAATTTTTTTCTCACTAAGGCTATGGCAGCATATCTACACAAGGAACCACTGAATAAAAAATCCTAGTAATTGAATTTGTAGTAAGTTATGCTGGATTATTATTATTCTTTTTTTTCTTCATCCTGTAGGTATCGACATTCTCTTGCTATAGAAACTGCATCAACCGGAATAACCAAGGTAATATACCATATTTTGACCACTTCAGCTTCTCATTTTCAATGTAGTGTTTAAACAGAGATAGTATATCTCCGAGAAAATCCACTGAACACCGTATCAAAAATAAATGATAAGACCTTTTTAACCCTATTTAGATAAATCCATGTTATCCTTAGTTTTGGAGACATTTCTTTGGCCATCTTTTGAATATTAACAAATTGACTACATGCCTTGATAACCTCTGTACATTATCCAAAATTTCCACCTAGAAAACAATGTTTGAAATATTCCTTGATTAAATTTTCATCCACTATACTAGCAAACCAATCGTCTGTTCATTTCTCGACTTATTACTCATAATTTAGTCCAGAGCTTTCAAAGCCCAATATTAATCTATTAACCACTAGATTATGAGCTCGAGATTTCTATCACGCATGGAAATCGAGAGCGAATAATCTAATTGATTTAGTATAAATCTACTAGTCGTTCAAAACTTTATCCAGATCTTCTTCACAGACACTTCGAAAACGCAAATATGGGGCTGTCATTTAGGTAACAACCGCACACTGCTACGCTACGGCATTCGTGATAGAACGCTACTAATACTGAATATAGCACCCTCATTTACTGCCATACATTTCTTTAGAATGTCAATTTAGAGTATTTAGTGTCTGTTAGTATGTACTGATGTATTGACTGATTTTTGATATTCCCATCACCTGTCTGGTTGAAAATGTATTGACAGTGATAAGAGAAGTTGGATATTGATCACTAGTTGGTTAGAGTTATGCTTCCGTGTATGTTTTCAATAACAGATCAAGAAGCTCAGACTGCAATCGTCTTCAAGCAACGCATCCGTAAAGCTCTAAAACCCGTTCCTGGTAAGCGTAAATCACCAACCATAGACGTTGTCAGACGACTTTTTCAACCAAATCTAAGGAAAACCCGGTTTATTGCTAAAATTAGGTTAGCACAGAAATTTTGCTATCACGACTGCAATTCGTTGGGCGGAAGAAAATTGTAAATCTGCATAAATCTGCAACGCGAATAAGCCACAGTAGAACACGTTCAGACATGGTCACAACTATAGTCATGGTCAGAAGCCAGGTTAGAGTGCGATGTTCTCAATAAGAGGTGTCAAGCTGAACATCGTTTAATTGACTCGTAATATTAGCGTTTACTTTTTCTTTTTATACGTTGTAGTATTTTGTCGTTAGTTCACCAGTGTCCTCCGTGATTAATCCGCGTGTTCAGTTTTCCCACGTGATCGATATATTAGGTTTTGCTATAATAAGCTGTGAGAGAAATTTTAAGTCGAGGAAAGAGGATTAAACTTTAAGTGATCAAATCTTCCAATTTTTGGATCAGAGCGCTCAAACACTTTTATTGAACTTCAACTTCGTATTTTAGGATGCAGAGACTCGTCACCAGACCAGTCTGAAGACTGGACTCCGAGCGTGGTCAATGTAACCTTTGGACAGTATGAAAACACTAGTTATTGGTATGTGAACGCGTCTTGGACACCTTTGAATGGTAAGTGATTTTGATTTATATTTACATACTAAGATTGGTAAAAAAAATTGAGAATTTACAAACAGTTCATGAAAAGACATTGCAGAGTGAGGTATCAATCTACGTCGCACGAGCCACAAATCTGTCACTTTTGGTCTTGTAAGGAATTCCCACAAGGGTGAGCAAAAATGGCACCGAATGGTGCTCTGTACTCAGTGGTTATGCTTTAGGCAGCTTAAAATTATTGTTTAAGAAAGTTGCACTGGACCTTGGCTGAAGCTAGGTTATAAGATTATAAGATTAAAAAAAAGTTTTAAAAAAGGGTTTCTTTCAAAGTTTGCAGCCGACGGTTAGGTTACCCATAAGTTTAACAATAAAGACGAGTGCTACCTTCGCCCGTCAAAGTTGTCTTCTAGTTTAACTTTAATCAAATGTTATTTTTGTAATCTATTGCAGAATCCTATGGAAACTGGACTGAGATTATGGTTAAACTCTTAGTCCGGACTTCTAAAATTGATCCGTTATCTCCAGCGCCAGTAATCTGCTCTGTGCATCCTAAAGTAAGTGAGAAAACACGGCAAAATCCTTAGGTGGAAAATTTTAGCAAAAAAAAAAAAAAAATTACCACGGATCTCGCTTTGTTTTAATATGGGATAACAAAGTAACCACCACGCAAATATATGTGTGAAACAAAAGATGTAGTTATACCAGGGTTTTATTGAAATGTGCTATTTTGTGGTTTGGTATTTTGGGTTCAACTGTATTTCCTTGGTTACAATAGCAGCTAAATCTTTAGTCAGGAGGTTCCTCTCACCGGGGTGGATCGGTCATAGAGGTCCTAGTTGGTCAACATCTTGTTCGACATCAAACTCGTTTCAACGATTGATTTAGTCAAACTTTTCTCATATAATACGGTTACATTCACTTTCAAATGATAAGGTTAAGCCTTAAATTTAACAAGTAGTATTATCGCAGTGAAGCGCGACATTAACGTGCAATAGCCCTTTTCACGGTTAATTTTTCTCATTTGCATTACAATGTAATCCAACGTGGATGCGAGGCAATTTCGGGCTAAAACTGCAAAATAGCCCGAAATTGCCTCACATACATGCTACATTTTATTGTAATGCAAATGAGCAAAGGTAACCGTGAAAAGGGCTATTTAACAATTAGACCCGTAGCCCGCAAGGGCTACGGGTCAATAGCCCATTCGGCTTCGCCTCATGGGCTATTGACCCGTGGCCCTTGAGGGCGAAGGGTGTAATTGTTTTAGTATCACCCAACTCGTCGGACAGAAAAGGTAATAATAAACTTAGCAAATGCAAGTTGAAGAAATATTTATCTGGGAATGAAACGAAAGAAAGCGTCACGCTCGATGGCGCNCCAAACGAAGGACGGTGGAAATTAAAGTTATAAACAGATATAAATTTAGTGCCTCTTATGCCTGATGAGGATAAAACCTTTAGGGGCTCTTTAGTTTTGGATTTGAGAATTTGATGACGTCACGTGAACACACTCTATCTAATGTTGGAACTGTGGTTTGGTTCTTTTTTTGTGTTAACTTGTATTTTGTAGTATTGGTGTATAATATATAATTTCTAGAGACTCTTTCCCAACTTTTCTTTCACGTATAAACGTCGTGTGTTGTCTAGATGTTTCTATTGTCGAGGATTATCTAGTTTGTGATGCGAAAATAGGTTGAACGTTGCTAACAACAGTTGCTTTTGTTATATTGTAGCAGCTGAATATTTTTAAAGTGGGAATTGTTATTTTTATAATTGTACCAAGCAAGATGAGTCTGATTCTGTCAACGTTCATTTCAAATTTCTTGAAGGTTGTCGCTCTTCCTTATTCTCCAAATGAAGACTATGCAAACATAACACCGTATACGCCACCTGCCCGTAAGTTGCATTCTTTCAACAGAACTTGTAATTTGTTATAAATTACAACATTGATATTATGTAGTTTACCATGTAATTTCAAAAAGACATTCAGTTTTGGTTTTCGAGAACAAGCGGTTTTATTCGGTAAGTTTCTTCTTAATCTTTAAATTTTTGACCATTTATATTTTTAAGTTTCCCCAAGAGAATATGATTTGGTTTCCCTTTTATCCGCTTTAAAAGTTCTTGTACATATTTAAAATTTTTACTAGTAGTCATAACTTACTTAGGGCCCCTGCTGATACCAGCCAATGGCTGATGAGGCCAGCCTGCCAAAATAAAGTTTGACTTGACTTGACTTGACTTGACAACTAGTATCTGAGACATTTTTGTCCAAAACTAAGCCTTTGTTACTGTCGCTCGCCTGGTCATTATACTTTGATGTTTAAACGCCTGACTGCGAGAGAAAAATGCATACATCCACACTTGATGTTTGCTTAGCGATTGCAAAACATGTTACATTACTCGGTTCAATCAGGAACATTTGATCACAAGATATAGCAGCTTGAAATGTTTAGAGGCAAAATTCACCGCGAAACGTGCGCTTTGCCCTGTTTTTGATCTTACACTGTTATTGTTTGTCTTTTACAGTGACTACCTCACCTACTAAGGTCAACACAACAGGTAAGTCAAAGGAAAACTCTTCCGGCATTCACTAAAACAATAACACTTTACAGACTTGACAGACTACTTCATAGTATTTTTGTGGTAAACGTCTTTAATGTTATGCCGTCTTAATGTAACACGTATCGATACTTGAACAGGCTTTCTTTCACTGATTCACTATCTCTACTGCTTTAGGTGCTTTTCCACCAACCACATCCAGGAAATCAAGTGAGTTTTAATGATCAGTGTTACCTCTAGTTAACCAGTATACAGTTAGCCGTTGTTTTCAGCTAATATCAGCATCGTTTTTGTTAGCAAGAAGAAAATCCGTGGTCTATGAAGACTTTCTCTACCAAGAAAAATTGGTTTTCATAGCTGCACAAGTAAATCTTTCATTGACGAAACGGAGATTATCCCAGATTACCCAACAAAATGTTAGCTTTATATGCATAGTTTATTAAAACGAACTGCTACAACTTGAACCCTGATAAAAGTAAAATACTAATCCCAATTTACGTTTTCTTTAGATTGCTCGTTAGAAGAATATGGTGACCTCAAGTGGTATTCATCGAATGTCGACGGATGTTTCTTTGAAAGAAGTAACGGAGATTGGTTTGCAAATATTTCATGGACGCCTCTAACAAGTATGTCCACATCAAAAGCACGTGTTTTGATGTCAAGTTTTCTTTGTGTAATGTGTCCAATGATCGCATGTCGAGAAAATGCAAACAAGGGTATTACTTGTAGGCGACACTTCAAAATCACGCAGACATTAAATCAACTGATAAAAACCCTCACTACAACCTCCTTTTATATAATAGCCTATTGGCTTCGAATGTTCCTGTTTCCCTTTGGGAACGGAAAAAGGGTCACGGAGCCACTCACTGACTGTGAATTGGGTATCTATAAATATCTATAGGTATCTTCATTAAAGTGCTGTGATATGTTCAGTTGAATCTCGCTACCTCGAAAAATAATTCGAGATGTCGGGGATTCGAGGTAGTGACTGAGAAAGTATATCCTCCCAAGGTTGGGGTCCTACTGCATTCTCTAATTTGATCATTGGTAAACTAGTGCAATTAAAGCATTATCTCTTGTGGTTCTGACCTGCAGATTCTACAGTCACTTGGACTGGATACTTCCTTTCCTTTTATTTTGGAGACGTCCCAAAACACGTGGGTTACGACACAGCGATAAAATGTTTCAAATTGCCAAAGGTAAATGAAATATAAAGCTGTAAAATTATGCTTTTATCCACGCGACCAATTTCGAACATTCACGTGACGTCTTCGCCACCATATTGGATTACATTATTAAAATATTTCTAAATTATCTTTTTCTCAGCTCGTGAGCGGGCGGAATTCAACAAATCTTGCAATCTGATTGGTTCCTGTAGCGGGCAGAATTTTCCCTTCCGGACCGCCACAGCGAGCGGAATCCGTCGTGTTGGCCTGCGGCCTCGGGCAGCATTTTCAAGCCCGAGGTCACAGTTTTTCACTAAACGGACCTCCCAGCCGGCCAATAACATATATATATTTCATCCACGCAACATGGCCGCTATGTCTTTCTCATTTGTATTTCTCGGGACTGGTTGTAAACCATCAATTACGTAATCTAAAAATAGCTTTCAATTAAGGATTCAAAAGAGTCAGAACACTCACCTCTCTGTTTATCAACTCCTAGTAAGACAAAAACTACATTGAATAGACTGTACATCTATCTCGATGGAAAAAGCTTAAGTGTGGTTGTATTATTAAATATCATTGCAGAACCAAAGATCTTACATAGTGGATTCCTCACATGGTTGGAAACCTCCACAATCAATAGCCGTCAGTGTAAGTGGTGCATGGACTTATATCTTTTATAGTTAGCTGCAAAGGGATGTCCCCGATTCTTGGGTTAAAAACAGTATAGATCAACAATAAGTTGTACATGTTAATAATGTATAATTTCAACGAAGTTGTAAACCGGAAATTCGGAAACCTTTCACTCATTTTCGGTTGTCTTGGAATAATTTAAATTTGCACCCGCTTTACAACTTTGAACCTGTGACTGGCTATTGAATACAAGAATACCGAGAATACGAATATGGTCTATTACATGAGGGCCAGGTTTGTCTTAAACCAACAACAGCGCGCATAGCATCGTTATTGCAGTAATACGTGAAAGCACAACAAGGCTGTAATTTACAACTGAAGACGTCCTTGAATAAGTATTGTAAGTATATTACAAAGTGAACTGTGATCTAACTATTTTCTGTATAATCAGGTCTCTGCATATCCATTTCCGAGAGAAGCGGGAGAAGTCATGCATAATTTCGACTTTTCAGCAGGATGTAAGTCACATACCCAGTTTTTTACATTATTAGCAATGATTTCACTGAACTGAAAGTACCTCATGGTGTACGGTGTTCGAAAATTGCTCGCAATTATCGACACCTGTCACCAGAATTCGATGGGAGCACTATAGCCATTTCCAATATTTTAACTATAAATCTGTAGTTTCTTCTTCGCTGCTTTTACAAGCTCCGACTTTCCAAAAGAGAAAGCTGAGGGAACCTTGAGCGGATTACCTTCGTCACTTCAACTCATTCCACACCTTGCTTAGCACAGTGGAACCCGGCCTTACAGCCACTCCGTTAATACGGCCACCTCGTTGTTACGGTCACTTGATTCTGGTTCGACTTTTGTGGCCCGTTGGCGACCGGATTAACGGGGTTCCGCCGTATAATTACTTCGGGATTTGCTGGTGGATTTACGACTGAGTAGTTAGCTACATGTTTCGCTTTTACACCTCTTACTCGCTCCATTTTATCAATGAGATCTCTAACCTTTCTAAGTCCTTTGTGCCCAAATACATACAGATGCATGTTGACGCGTAAAGATCCGATGAGTTTTCCTGAACAGTCCTTTATCGCATACCACTATTGGTACCACCTAATTATCTACTATTGGTTTCATCTTTAACGTTTCCAGGCAGCTGAGGGTCTACAGGTCAACAATAACTCAAATAAAAATGTAGTCAAATCATGAAGCCCTGGCCAAACGGACTCGCAAGTGGACGCAAGTTGAAGACTTGAGTCTACTTGCGACTCCTGTTGGCCAGGCCTCAAAGATGGTTATGTTCTAATCTATACCAATTCTATTTGTCTCCTCTGTAGGTACATCTACTACACCACCATCAAGTAAGTATTGATCTTCTGACTGTAGTTTCGTTGAAACTGTTGTTCCTAAAAGACCTTTACATGGTTTACCCAGAGCCTGACATCTTTCCACTGTGTCGCTGGGTTGTTCTTGTAATTGGTAACAAAAATATTTGCGTGCACTTGCGTTGACCTGCGCTCACTTTGGTCGAAATCAAATTCGCACGCTAGTCAACCCACGTTTTGCACCGTTTGGCCATCCAACCCAGGTCAGCGCAAGTTGAGTGACGTCCATTAACCTATTATAAGTCAATAAAATACAGGATATGTCTGTCTTGAGATGGGTTTTTGCGACTTGTGTGTTCTTGCGAGGAAACTTGCGCTTCCGTTTGGCCACCCAATGCAAGTTAGCCTGCGTAGCAAGCGTTTCCGTTCGAAGAGCTTTTCCGCATTCTTGCCGCGCGTAAATTTGAGCGAAAGGAAAAACTCGACGCGCGTCTCTACTCGCGTTCAACGCAAGTTCAACGCAAGTTCAACTTGCGTCTACTTGCGGCTACTTGCGACCGCTTGCGAGTCCGTTTGGCCAGGGCTTTAAGAAGATAGGTATGTTCTAATCTATACCACCTCTATTTCTCTCTTCCATAGGTACATCTACTACACCACCACCAAGTAAGTATTGACCTTGGTTAGAAATGTGGTTCATCGCAACCCTTCGGGTTAAATTACCGTATTGGAAACAAAAATGATATTAAACTGAGAAGACATTAAAGAGGTCAAGCGGGTTGCTGCTCCAATAGGTTTACCTAGATGATACCACTGGTTTGGAGTAAACCTCTTTTACAGACTAGAAAGATCTGATTGTTGTTTGTTTTGCTTCAGGAAATTCTATCCTTATAACCACTGTGTTTAGTAGCGTGGGTGGAGTCTTTTTGCTCTTGATAACTCTGCTGCTGGTTCGTCATTGTCGACGAAGAAAACCGTCTCCATCACCGACTACAGAGCCGCCTCGTAAGTCTAATTTCTTGCCAGCCTGAAATATGCGACACTAGTTATTGATTCGCTTCATTAAATTCACCATAGGTCATTATTGGGTCACTTCATTAAGGACGGTGCCTACTGTTGTTAGTGTGCACACGTTCAGCACATCACGCAATGTATGGTTTACACGCCACGCAAGCTTACATGTACGCAACGAAAATGAAGGAAATATTTTCCTGCTGTGACCAAATCAAGTATTATGAACTTGTACTTAAACCAGGAACACCAAAATAGCAGTATATCGCTAACCACTAACTGTTAAAGGTTTCCAGCTAAAAAAAACAGCTATTATACGCAGAAAATTATGCTGAAATCCAACAGTAAACATGTACCTGCAGATGGCATTGTACGCGCGCGCGGTGTCAATGTTTGTCTCACTGGGGAAAAGACATGAAAAATTGCAATGGGCACAGAAAAAGTTTTCAAAAAAGATGAAAACAGCTCATTTTAACTTTTAAAAACTCGTGGTTACCCCTACATTTTACGTTATGAAATGGAAGTGGCAAGCCTATTAAAAACGTGATTAGTTACTGGTTGTGCGGAAAAGTGTTTAGATTGTAATTTGGCTTAACCATAAGAGAGCTGTCAGGGACGCTAAAAGCGCGGTTGCGAAGATGTTTTCATTGAAAACTTACCAAAAGTGGTTTTTATATTACCATTTACCACGTAGTCTGAAGATCTTTATGTATGTGTCTGCTTTTTTATGTAAAGGCGAATAATAAGGAAAACTGTTAAGAATTATCATTCCCTCATTTTTGAGAAAAATGCTGACGTCGGCATTTTTGTTCGAGATTAAAGGATGATTTTATCAAATGGTTCATGATTTTCCTTCTTTGTCCACAGGATTTAAATACCACGCATTTATCATCTACAGCTCGATTGACCACGACTTTGTCAGAAACATTCTTATCCCAATACTTGAGCACTACAGCTTCAAATATTGCATACACTGGAAGGACTTTCCACCAGGAGAGGTGTTCAGAAGAACCATTGTAAAAAGTGTGTATAACAGCTTCAAGATCATTGCTGTTGTATCCGAAAATTTCAAAAACAGTGAGCCATGCCAATATGAAATGAATCAAGCTCAGCACAGACTCATGACCCAAGGTGATGACTGCTTAATTGTGATTAAATACGATGGCGTAAATGTCACTGAAGTATTGAGTGAACCGTTATTAGAAAGATCATATATCGACTATACAAGCATCTGGGATAGATCTCGGTGGGAATCGAAGTTAGTGCAGGTTCTTCAGAAAGGTGTCCTGGAAGACGAAAGTGATGATTATAGCGAAAGCAACGCGAACAACAATAACTTAACCCAAGAAAATTCAGCGGGTGTTGGCGTTCGAGAGTTATTTTGTAGCTGCCAATCAGCGGTGTGAGCGAGGTATCGTCCATGGAACAGGTAATACGTGGAGAATGGAATGTGGATTCAGAAGCCGAGTTTGGCGTCTCGTTACATCAGATAGCAAGCGATCGTCATAACCTACCGTTCCATAGATCTACGCGGGAAGATTAAAACGATACATCTCGGAAGTTCCTTCGTCAAGGAAAACCCATTCCAGCGGGGTATAATGGCGTATAGGGTTAAGAACTGTTTGAACGTCGTCTGAGATACCCAGATGGTATTGGTAGCCACTTCAGCTCACCAATCGGTTTCTTCACGACCAAGAGGTACAGAACTCTGTTTTGCTGTGAAAAAAGCTACGTGCTAAGATAAAATAGTACCAAGTCTTATAATTTTAACCAATCTCAGCATTAGGTCACCTAGATGGGTTTGACTAGCTGTAGTGTTCTGTTACATTGCGACTACTCCGACCAAGGAATTCTTTGCAAATTGACCACTGAAATGTTAAAAGTTTTAAAGTAGTTACTAATCAAAAGGACCACAAATCTGAACTTCCTTTGTAATGTACAGCTTTATTACATGCATAATTCGTTGGAAAACTTTTGTCAACCTCCACGATTTTTATAAGTTAAATTTGTAGAAAATTTTGTCGGGCGGCCTTGGTTGGTAGTAATCGCACAGTTATTTAGAAGTACAAAAGTATATTTTTAAAGGACTATTTATAAATTACTCAAAGTCGTGACAAAAGATGGCAGAGAATTGGCATCATTTACTAATCCTTATTTCCCGGGTTTTGAGAATAAGGAAGCTACAGTTTCGACTTTGTGGTAACTTGTTACAGTGCCGGTCACTGTGTTAATATATTAGCGTATAGTCCGAATTTTGCTTCATCACATGTCAGGGTCTGACCGTGATATCACAGGATCAATGTAGACTGGGACCTAGGTTACGTTATTGCTACTCGAGAAATTTCCTGGCTCTTCCATCTTCGCGAAATTGAGTTTACGCGACAGTAGGTAACAAGGCATTTTAAATCAAATAAATCAATCTCAGTTAGATGGAGCAACTTTACCGCAGGTGTTACATTAACATAAACTACTTTAAAGGTAGGGTGTGCCGAAGAAACTGGCAATCTGCGGGGTTTAAGCCACGCATTAAACTTAATGACTTCTTTTCAAAGATTATCTCGTCGAGTGCCGCCATGGTAAACCTAGTAGTGTCGACAAGTTCCTATAGTTAATGTCCAATCTTCTGATATTGAGCACTGATCAATCAGGGACGGCGGAGACTCCCCTCCCCTAATAATATCTCCAGACCCCCTACAAGTCAGCGCCACTGGCGCTCACTTGTAAGCCTGCCTAATTCAAAATACGCTCCACCATCCCTGAGTTGGCAGACAACTTGCCCAATCCCTTNCCCCCCCCCCCCCCCAATTCAAAATACGGTCCGCCATCCCAGTCAACATGGGAACAAACAGAGACATCAAGATTTTCTAATACGTAACTCTGTAAACCTTCCGTTAAGATTTACCTTTTCTAATAAAAAGTACAGTTGTCAAGCAAAACAAATAAACCGATTAACCAATCGTTCATGTGCTTTTTTTTGCGGTAGATGCACTCACATTTGAGTATGTATTCCGCTTCGTAGTAGTAAAACCCAGTCACATCCCGTATCCAGAAAAGTCCAGATCCATTTTATTCTCCACTTACACTGAGAATTTGTTTTATCATTTTATCCAACAAGGTGGGGGATGGCTTGTTAAAGGGAAAATGAAATACTCTTATTTCTTGGTAATAAATCTCAAGGATCTCGGTGAGATGTTCTGGACATCCGCTAGGCCACATAACAGAGTTCAAAAGTTTTAAAAAGTAATACAATAGTGCCAGAGAAGTCAATTATTCAGCAGACGTTTCTGGCGCAGCCCTTCCTCAGTGCCAAGTGTTAAATGGATACACCATCCCATCCATTATTTGCTACATAAGTGACATTTTTAGCTCTATTTTATTACTATCAATAGCTTTTGAGCTATTTACGCCGTGAAATGCAGCCACGGATCCTTTTGGACTACCGATATTTGTTCTACATAAGAGTATTCATAAATTGCGTTGACAAATCGTCAGAAAATTTCGTGAACATTTGGTGGAAAAATGGATTTTGAGTGATTACTCGCAATTTTTTGCCTTCTTGATGGCAGAACTTTTCTGTTATGTATGTTGATTGGTTCTCTCGTGTCACGTGGTTTTTCCCATGTGCTTTTGTCCAAGCAGTGTGTATTTCAGTATCCGCCATTAAACGAAGTTAGTTGCGTTAGTTGCGAATCTAGTCGGTTACTTATCTCCCCAAAACACCACATTTTCTTTGCTCCTACAAATGAATTATGGAATATAGTACTTTTATTTACCGTAAAAAACAGGCTTTCGTCGAGGAATCCCGATTGAATTTGTTTCAATTTCTGCATGCTCCTCATATTGTCTTGAACACAGATTCTAAGGGCGCGTTTGTTTTCACAAGTGTTAGACAGTCGGCGAGACAGAGAACCACTCTGATGATCACCTGATATTCGAATGCGCGGGCTTGGAGAGAGTTTAAACCCTATATTTTTGAGGCGGAAATTGCCTTCCTCTTTCGATCGCTATCACGCCTACAACAGATTTCAAAGGTTTTTTTATTTGAGTCAAATGACCTAACGTGGAAAGATTTCGCAGGTATGTGGCAAATATTTTGTTTGTTTTTTTATTTCTTTAGTCAGTGGTAGATTTCAATAGTATGCGCAGGCTGCTTGCCGGTGTCGATTAGAACAAGAACTAGCTTTTCTTGTGATCCATGATGCCTTAATCCAAATACAGTCGAACCACACGACAACGATAGTAACGACTATGGAAGAAATCCAATCGAAATTAGCCGTTTAAACGACAAGTCACCGTTGGGCAGAGGTCGTCGTTGTGAGACGAGTACAGAAGTCGCCTGATACGTAACGAAAGGACGCCTCTAAATGTGATGGAACGATACTAGAACTAAGTAACTCAATATAAATGCGCCATTTTTAGGGCATGCCATGGATGGTGGTACATACGACTTAGGAATGTCAGAATATGTTTTCAGTCGATAGCTCACAGTCGATCCGCACTCTGACAACACGAGACAGCTCACGTATAAATGCTATCGCATGTAAATAAAAAGAATACTAGAGAGATTTTTTCAGTGAATTTTTGCAAAATAAAGTTTCTTTACGAAATGAGACTGAGGATCAAAATCAGTGATTATTCGATTGACTCTTTCACCGAACAAATATTGCGAATCCGAAGAACATTGTGTAGATCGACGCTTACTAGTGCAGACAAACTGTAAAACTGTGGAGGCAACGCCTGGCCAACATCTGTCACCCGAAGTACCTCGTTATGGCAGATTGTCACGGCATAAAATTTATTTTGTAACGACTGGCCAACTTTTAGGGTTTTGTTTTTTTGCTTATCTTACATCTCCAGAATATTGTGGAGGATAAATCATCCATATAAATTTCTTTTATGTCATGTAACTCTTGCAATGATCACGCAACATTGTGCCAGTTTTGCGCTCCGAACACCTTCAAAAACGAAATACGCAACTATTACAGGATATAATCAGCAACGTAAAGCATTATATCGAGTGCTAAGGCGACTCTAGACAGATTTAACACTCGAATTTTGTTACGAACTATATACACCATTTTCCCCTTGCGTGATTATCGCCCGGGATTATCGTAACTGGGAATCATGAATATGCATAAAGTGAAAGATGTAAAACATGAGAAATTTGATATATGAGATTAATAGTCTCGACCCAGTTGATAGTAACACAAGAATTTATAATCTACTAGCTCGCGGTCAAAGGGAACTGATCGTGTTTGGCGCGGAATTTGAAGCTTTATTGTAGCTTTTCTTCACTTTGGAGGTTTAAACAGTGTTATGGACGCGTTTTTTCGACAATAACCGGCCGCTGAAAGGCACAAAGTGTCAGATGCCACCTCCAAAATAAGAAAATATTTCTGTGCGAGATCGACAAAGAAGACGCATAACCTTTGTGCTAGGATCTGCTTGTCGGGTCCTAAACGTTAGTATGATTACTTTCCTTTTGTCTATCCTTAACATTTGAATTGTATTCTTTTCAGTATTTGAAATTACTCTTTTTCACATCACTGATTTACCACGGTGTTATGGACGTTACTTCCTTAATGTGTCTCAGTGTTGCCGATGCATGTCCCTCGTGTTGCTATGGTATACAAACAAATACTACAGACAAATACGTTGAATAGTCACACGGTTCTACTTTGATCGTCTTCCGTGTGTATATTAGGAACTTATTCAAACTTAGGCTTTCAGGATTAGAAATAATATTCTTATTTTTGAATACTTGTAATTTAAGTCATTTGGTATAACGCCATGAATGCTTAGGTAGTTGTAGAAGTCAGAATGGACTGGCTATAGTCTCCCCCACTTTGATGTCATTTTAGATTTCGGGCTGGAGATAATGCAAATACATGTTTAATACCGCTGAAAGCACTATTTGATACAATGAATGCGTGTTTCTTCAAAATTTTTACTTCTCTAAATTAAGAGGAGCGCCAAATTAATTTCGTGTTCGTTTTTTCTGCTTGGTAATGACAGCATTAAGCTCTTTCCTATGATTGCAATGGAACCAGAAGGTAGCACGGACGGATTTCTCAGGAAAAAATGTGTGCCTTTTATTACAGGTTTTGAATTGGTAAGTACGTTAATTTTCACACCACTACGAAGTATTAATTAGAGTTTACATTGTGCCAAGAAAGAGCAACTTAATTGCCTAAAATTTCATAGTCTCTATATATATTTTCCTAAGTTCTACCTTTAATATGTAGCCACTAGGCTTAAGTCAAACCCACCTAACTCTCAAAGAAAGAACTCTAGGTTTCACTGTTGTTTACTAGAACACACTTAATTTATTCCTCACTTGGTAAACCATTGTTCTGCAAACTTTAGTTTTTATAAATATGGAATTTTGTTTTACACCTCGCTTAATGTAGGTAGTGTCAGTATCACATTGTAAGTGGTGTACTTTGCGTGGGAATGAAACACACTCCTGGGGTAATAAGTCAGTAAATGTCAGTGTGTTAATGCTCCAGAAAGTATCTTATATACCTCAGTTCCACTAAAGGTTTTTTTTTATTTTCAATCACCCAATCCCAGCCCTACTGAACCCCTCCAGAAGTTTTAATTTATTGTTGGCTTATGCATTATGTAAATGTTTAAGAAAAGAAAAAAAAGTAAAAAAGGAAAGAAAAAGTTCTGATCTCACTAAGAGTTTAACTCATAGACTCCTGCTCATAAGGGAGATATCTTCTCCACTGCACCACACTAACAACTACACTATTTGTGGAGAACATATAGAATAAATTGGTTTGTATGGAAGTCCTGGGTAGTTAAAACAGCAGGCTCAAGTACATTCCTTGCACCAACCTCATTTATTGTAATCATACTTTTATCTTCCTAGTAATGTCCCACTCATAAGACTACAATACTTCAACACAATGAGTAACACTAGCCATTAAAGCCCACAAGTGCACATTGCAGACCTTTTTTCATACTTTGGGTAACGTCCATTCAACCAAAAATTCAAGTTTGGGAATAAACTGTGAGGCTATGCTCTTTTCTGGTAGTTTAGGAAATGCTGTTCTATTTACAAGACTGAGTGGAATTCCTTGAAATTCAAAGAGGAACTTTTGGCTGAATGGTCAAGGCAACTTATATAAGCTGTGTTGATATATTTCTCTTTTTTCATTAATATCCCTAAAGGTGGCTGGCCTTATTACATTTGTTGCTGGTGTTGCAATAATTCATAAAGAAAAAACTCATGCAGCAATTTCAAGTGTGAATATTCAAACTGCACCTATTTTACTACTTGTGGCTGGAATTTTAAGTGTATTGCTGGCAGGTCTTGGAATCTATTGTATAATGAAAAAACTGACTTTCAATGGTAGTGGGAAAGCATTTATAATTGTGGTAAGTTCAATTAAGTTCTATACAGTTACCCAGCCTCCCCAGCATTTTTCAGGTTTCTTGACAATTATCTTCTCTACAGTACTCATTTTTCTTGTTTATAGGGCTAGATTAGTTTTTCTCATGAATGTGGGAATTAGTTTCAGTTTTGGTTGGTAAAATACTTCATTTATTCCTGTATTCCCAGCTGTAGTATATAAATTATGCCAAATAACAACAATGTTGCACTGCCATTTATATCAATAAAATCCTGGATAATCAATAACAGTGGTAATATTTTTAAGGAACATGACAGAATGCACAGGGTAACACTGAGCAGGTGCTTTGTATTGCCTGAGTACTGCAGGGTATAAAACTAAATGTTTGAGAGGCTGCACTCTTAAGCCATTCTCAGATCAGTTTTAACATACTGATTTCCAGTATTCCAGTATTCTAGACACTGCATACATGTATATGTTGTAAGCCAGTGTTATTTCTGCAGGTCAGAGTTCAACAACATCAGTTTGCTTGAAATTAGTTAAGCTACCATGCAACAACAAAGGGTATTTAAGTGATTAAAATAATGTTTTTAATGTTTTTAAGACCTTTATTATCAATTTGTAGTTTATGGTCCTTCTTGCTGTGAGGGCTCTAATTGCACTGATAGCTGGAGGTGTTGGAATAAATTACATCAAAGAGGTACCTCGCTGGAGATCTACTAGCTTGAATAACTTCCCTTAGTTGGGTAAATGTATCATCAAGCACAATCTCTTTTTCAAATATTCTTGGTTTGTTGGCCGCATCATGTGTACTAAAGGCATCTGTGGTTGATTGTCAATCGATACTTGATGGACACTCTCTATATAGACACCTCCACTGATACTTGATCAACACTACATCAACATCTCAGTTGACAGTCGATTGAGAGTTGACTAATTTCCCCAGACACACCATTGAGTCTTGCTCGATACATAGGAGTCGGTTGACACTCAGCCCACTATGAACCAACTGTTGATCAAGTGTCAGTCAGGACAGGTGTTGATCAGGCTGTTGATTGAGTGTTGACTGAGTATCAATCGAGAAGTCGATTGGGTGTCGATCGAGATGTCAATCAAGTCTTAATCGAGGGTCGATCGGGGTTATCAATCAACGCTTGGCCATGGATGCCCTTAGTACACATGATCAGGTTTGTCTAATATATAGAAAGCCATTATTATAATAATCAATCAACATGAGCTGTTGATAAATTTGTGAGGACCCACATGATAAACAAGGAATAAGGGCAAACATATTTCCATGGTGAAGTCAAGAACTGGTTTAGATAAGTTGAATTTGATACTCTTAGTAAATTATGTCAAACTGATATTTTAATTTATAAGATTGCACAGGCAATAATGACAATAATAATACTACACTCATTTGCATATGTATCAGTAATATTGCTTTATGTAAATGAAAAGAAAAAATGTCAAGAATTTTGTCCGACTCAATAGATGTGGGAAAACTTCAGAATTCATAAACACGGTACACTTTTTCAATGTAAATAACAGTTAAAATCTTAAAATTTGTTTTAATTTAGTCTGCTTTTTTGCTGTTTTCAAAAATTTCTAGGTGAAGGATAAGTTTGAAGAAGACTTACAGAATAGCATAGAAAATTATGGAAGGACAGGAAAAGAAAAAATGACTCATATTGACAGGTTGCAGAAACAGGTTGGTTTTAGAATATTTTAAATAATTATTGCTGAGGAGTTCAATAATCATAACTCTAATAATAAGCTCAAAGCATGTGGTAATAAGTCAGAAATTCAGCAGTGCAGCGTTTTTATCTGGCACCTTCACATTCTTTATGAAATATTTTTTTACAAATTCACTACATAATTAACATGATTGTACATTACAATACTTAATTATATTCATGATGTACTTTTACAATTCCATTTTAAATCAATGCTTCAGAACCCAGGCTAGACCATTATGCATTGACAGATATCAAATTGAATGTACTATTTTCTAATTATTCAGACAGCTTTAAAATAGTAATATAGATATACAATTATGTCAGTTGCTTTATATATGTTGTACATGTACATTGTATTTAACTAACCCAAAGAGGTCAAAAGTCAAAAAATGGACGAGGAAATTTTGCAGATTTCACTACTTTGTTGCCATGCTTTGTTCCGTTAAGATACATCACGGGTAAAGAACTTATTAAAATATAAAGAAAAACAAACAAACACAATAGTATAAAAAAACAAACAAACAAACAAACAAAAAAAACAGTAGTATAACTTGGTTTTAATAAAACAACCCTAAAGTCAAATTTCACACTTTTTATATTTCCCTGAATGTCTAAAATATTTTGGACTAGCACCTTTTGGTTTCGCACTACCAAGTTCTTTCTGATGGTTGTCTGAATGACAAGAGAATCATTTATTTTTTTCTCTTACTCTCCATAATTTCTGATCGCCTGTGATTTACATCATGACTGCATCATATCACTTCCTCAAAGTGTCATGATCTAGTAGATTACCAGAGTTGATGTACAGTTCATGTTAGCTTTGCTTTGCTTCACGTTAGCTTTACTTTTGAATTAAAAGTAATGTTAGCATAGAGCTTAGGACTGGTGTGAGAGACTAAAAGTATGTGAAATTAAAGCTAATGTGACCTTCAAAGTCATGGCTCATTAGTATAAAAAGTGAAGCCTTGGAGCCGATGGCTCATAGCTGCCGGAGCTTATCCCGGTTTCTGTAGCATGAAGCGGCTAGGAGTATTTCTACTCCCCCCGGACAGGATGCTAGTCCATTGCAGGTCATTCCCTGCAGTTTGTTAGGTTTCCCCGACAACTGGCCGGTACCCATTTATACTCCTGGATGGAGAGAGGCACCGTGAGAGTTAAGTGTCTTGCCCAAGAACACAACACCATGTCCCTGGCCAGGGCTTGAACCCGGACCGCTCGCTCTGGTGCTGAGCACACTAACCATGAGGCCTCTGCGCCTAGTCGTATAGAGGAGGCATTAATAGCTCATAGAGGCTATTAAGCTATTAGAGGCTTTTAACCAGACAAGTATCCAGACATCCTGTGGATTCCCACTTTTTTTCACATAACTTTTTAAAGTAAGAATTGTTCATTTTAGCAGAAGTAATGGTACATTTTAGATGCCCACTTTTCAAATCCTGGCTATAAGCCTGGTATCAACTGTTTTCACATGACATCACAGCAGCCATACTGGTGTCCCAAAGCAATGAAATGGTGGTCATGTTGGTTTTCCCAAACCAATTATGTAGGAGTGGAACTCTAAACACTTTTTTTAATTTGTATGGCTGCTGGCCATGTATGTGAAAATGCTCTGTTATGAATGCTGGTAGGTGTGCTAGTCTTATTACCTCAAATGAAATGTGTCTAGGTATTAGATGTTAACTGTGTGGTTTTAGGAAATAACCATGCTTACTCCAAAGTGGGAGGGGGTATAAATACTTTCTAGAACAACACAATAATTATTAGTCTATCCATTTCATTATAATTAGAATTATCCCCTCTCTGAACCCATTGATGTACTAAGAAGGTTGAAAATTAACATTGTTTCAATTAATTACTTGTATTAATTAATAGGACGAATGTTGTGGGGTGTTCACCTATGCTGACTGGCGCGCTACCATATATGGAGGACACAGATATGACAAAGTCCCAGATAGCTGCTGCAAAACCGAAGAATATGCATGTGGTTTTAAGTTTACAGATGAGGCAACACTCAACAAAAAGGTAAAGTTTTGTTTTTGCATGTCAAAGAAACCTTTGCTTCCTTTTCCCTTGAAATACCAGCTAATTACTAAACTCCTTAGTTTGATAGTCTCTAGTCTCTCCTATTCAAACCAACTATATATACATAATACCCCAAGGGATGACTGACAAATAAACAACAAGTGGCTGAATATTCAACATTTTCCCTTTATTTTGATTTCGGAAACTTTTCCTGGAAAATGTGGAAGATCCTAAAAAGAAGCATTTTTGTGGGATGAAGGGCCAGGGGAGGGGCATGCCCCCAAACCCCTTCGGTGGCTGACACCTTAGCTGCTCAATTCACTTTCTCTTTGGTGCATACTCCATGAAAAATGCACACTACTGTCCCCGGCTAATTGCTTCCAATCAGATAAATTTATTCTTCAGAATATCTTAATCTAAATTAGTGGAAGTCTATATTAGCTAACCAGTCAGTGTAACATGCAGACTGTAGACCAGAGGTAAAATGCGGAGTGAAGGTAAAATGCAGATAGCAGACTGTAGACTCTTTAAGTGTGATATCCGGAATAATCAAGGTTGAGGTAAGTGTTATCAGCCGAAGCTGAAGGCTGAGGCTGATAACACTAACCGAGACCTTGATTATTTCGGATATCACAAACTGAAAACTGAATCTAATAATTGTTTTATTACACATTGTTTTAAAGAAAATAACAACAAATGCATTATCGCACCGAACACGGTTATTTTTGACAAGCCATGTTCTTACTTCGCTGTCCGTGAACTTGACATTGCTCTTGGAAATTATGCATTGTGCGCACAACCTACAGATTCACAACCTACAGAATCAAATCCAAATGTTCATGGTTTTCTGAGTTTCACAGTAATAGAAAAAGCGATTGCATAAATTTTAAATCCACTGGCCAAATTCCTGAGTCCTCGCATTTCCAAATCTTATGGTGAGGCGACCATTTCCGGTCCAGGATCATTTGCGGTACAATTTGGCGATCATTTGCGGGCCGGGATCATTTGCAGGCCTGTAGACACAAAAATTTCGGACAAATCAGTGTCTGAAAATAAAACCGTCCAAAATTTTTAAGCTTCCGAAATATCTGCAGTACAATATAAAATTATATTCTATCCTTTATGAGGCGAACTCTAGTCGAGACACTGCTTGAGGGTAATAAGGGATAGGTTTCTTTTCCTCCTTATTGAACCATTTCTTGGTCCACTTGTAACCATTGAGGTTTTCCCGGGACAGAGGGCCTAGACATGTGGTCACTTCACTTGTCATATAAATGTCACCCACAAACTGCAAATGAAAACTCAATGGAGAATCGACCTTGATTACCTAGAATTGCAGACATGCATACTTTATTTGAAGAAGTAGGTCAGTTATTTATTATTACAAGAATGACAGCCGAAAGCTGAAGTACACCTAAATTAACTTGTAATATTTATTCAATAATACTTGTTGTCTGAATTAATTCATATTTGTACCAGTTGTCATTTCTACAGGTTTGCTTTTGCATGTAACCGAGGACAAATAAGCAAAGTTTTGTATTTGATAGATAAGCTCGACTGTTCTTTTTATTTCATTAGGGGTGTGCTTCGATTGCGCTAGACAAGATGTTTAAACACTTGAGGATTGTAGGTGCTAGTGGCATCACTTCCGGAATAATAGAGGTAAAGCAGAAACTTAACATAGAAGAGTGGCAAAATACTTATAGCAGAAACCAGGAGTCCTAAACGGAGAAGACCTCCGCTTATGGCCCCGATCCTGCCAAGATCGCCACGCCTAATGTAACATGCTTGAGATTTAAACGTACAAAGAACGCCAAGGCAGGGCAAATAACTAGTGGCCATAAAACTCAGGTTGCATGTTTGTCATTCCATAATCCAGGATAACCCCTCCCTCCTCCAGATAGGCTCCCGATATTATTACTGAGGGGAGGACGGGGAGCAATTTCTGTTCCATCCCGTCGGCCACTACACACCTTACCTGAACAGGGCTGAATAACGTCTGCGCATGTGCGAGATCTCATGGCTCGCGCTGCCGCGAACGGCCTGGGCACCATAACAAACCTGGAAAAAATGGCGGCGTTTTCAAAAAGTTTCGTATAGCGCCCGGTTTATGGTGAAAAAGTAGAGTCAAACTAAAAACGATAGAAAGAAATCTTTACACTAGTTCCCTCGACCATTGGCCGGCACATACCTTTTTGTACACAGGGGTTTAAAGTTTGTACAATTGGTGAAAACAGCGCG